ATATATATATATATATATGTATATGTATCAGGGGCGGACTTACTTTGGTTGTTTCGGTGGCACTGTCGAAGGGTAAAAAGTTTTAGGTTTGTGAAAAGTGCAACTGTATTAATCTGTTGTGTGTCACCGTATGAATTTTGAAACTACAATTAGAACAAGTTTTATTTGGTAAAGTTGATTTAGAAGGTTCTTATTCCACCTCGGACCCAAGTTTGAATCTTGTTAGTATAATTTTTTTAGTCAAATGGTGTCACCGTTTGAAAAAAATTATGTGTATTTGTTTCTTATAGTCAAACGGTATCACCGTTTGAAATCTTTTTACTATAGTTTTTTTATAGTCAAATGGTGCCACCGTTTGGAAAAAAAAATTCTGAATTCGATCCCGGAACCAAAGAGCTTTTAGTTTTGGACGCAAGAACTAGTAATTAATTAGTTTCCCGTGTCACTAAAATTAAGAACGAAAAATTTGATGGAAAAGATTGAGAATTGAACAAGACTAATTCGTCCTTAGTTTTGTTTGCTAACAAATGTCATCGAAGTCAGAAACGATGGATAAATACAATACATTTTATATACAATGCCATTATATATATATATTTTTTGTGTGTGTCTATATATATATATATATATATATATATATATATATATATAGGTCTAATTAAATGAGAATTGTTTTGTTTGTGGTATCGTGTGATCCAATTTCAACTACAAATCAAAGGTTAAATTGGGAAAATAATAATTTTGGAAATTTGAACTTAAAATATTAATTAAGGGCATTTTAGGGATTTTATAAATATCATCTCTCATCTCTTCTCTTTTCTCTCTCCGACGAATCTTATTTGGCAAACATTATTTTGATAAACTTTATATGAACACAAGATACACACTGTGATACCTACAAATGATATTCACAATGATACCCATACAAAATGCATAATGTGATACCCTTTGTAAAGTAATGAAAATAACGATGCATACTATGATACATTTGATAAAAACAAAGAAAATACATTGTGATACACGTGAAACATTGTAAACATTATCACTATGATACACTTTGATTCAGAAACGTTTTTAAAATACGATATATATGTTAGGTAACTAATTTTAATTAAATATTTCCTTCTAAAAATTTAATTAAATATTTTGATTAGTTGTCAAAAATAGAATACTATATTACCCTTTTAGCTTATTCAAGAAATATCCTTAAATATTTCAAACGAGTGGTTTACATTGAATCTCACAGTTACAACAAACTAATCAGTTTTTTCTTCAATATGCCCCTATGTGTGTGAGTGTATAGACGTGAATGGAGATGGAATCGCATTCCAGGGTGGGGCAAGCGGGGATGAGGATAGGGACTTGCATGGTTTTGAAAGGACGGGGATGGAGATCGATTAAGGTCCCGGGTACCCCCTCCCTCCCGCTTATTCTTCACGTTGCCCCCGTTGTCATCTCGAGGTTGTCCGTTTCTCATTTCTCATTCTTCTTGCTTCTAAATTAAGCTACTAACGTTGAAATTAATACCATCTAATCAATCGTCTACTAAAATCAACTTAACTTCGATTCACTTTCGTTTCATTAAGTAACAATTAGGTAACCTCTGAATTATTAAGAGTTGAATCTTGTTTGACAAAAAAAAAGTATGTCTCTTAATGGCTCTAAAACTCTCTAAATGATTTTGTATCATGGGTCTCCTTAACCATTCAGCGTCTTAATTTCATTATAAACAATTATCAAACAATTATATTTTATTTTGCACTATATCATGAGAGTCTTTTAATCATTTTATACCAAACCATTCAGTAACTTTCAAACAGCCCCTTAATCACGAATAAAAGATTCACAATTGGGGTCTTAATCCGAACTTAAAACATCCTAAAAAGACAAAATTGTAGTTAACAAGTGGTCCAAACCATTTTTGTAATAAACCCCTTTTTTATTTTAAGCAACTTGATTTATATATATATATATATATATATATATATATTCCTAATTTATATAACGATTTTCCTCTCTCCTTCGAAGTCATTTTTTAATATGCAAGAACAGACAACTTCCCTATAGTTTAACGTTACATGGACATTACAACCCCAAGATACCATTCAAATCAGAGCACAGTTTTTGACAATTCCCTCGTAGATCAGTGAAGGATCAGCAAGGGAATTGTTTTTGTCAATTCTCTTGTTGATTCCTTGTAGATTAGTGAAGTATCAGTGAGGGAACTGGTTTTTGTCAATTCCCTTGCGGATCCCTCGTTGATAAGTGAGGGATTTTTTCCGTCGTAAATTTCTATCGTTGATACTTTGTTTTCTAACAGTGGTATTTTGTTTTAATTCTTATTTTAAAAATTTTAATTACTTTGAAAAGATCAACCACTATGATTAATATGATAATTAATATATATATATATATATATATATATATGGGGTTTGGTTCACGTGAGACCAACCTGTTTTCGTGAAACCCGTGAGACTCATGAGATCATTTTTTTTACACTTGAAACTTCACAGCAAAACGTTGTAAAAGTAACCTTCATAATGTTTTTGCTATGAATATGATTTGATTAAGTATATGGGATATATAGCAAGT